CTTGTGTCCTGGTTGTGTGGGTTTTGAAAAATCCACATACGCTAGGGACAGACATTCAAAAATCCTGAGCCTGAGGTGATTCAATCTTTGCAGGTTAGTCTAGCCTGGTTAGGCTGAATCAGTTTGTAAGTGTACAGACATCCCAGAAATGCAGGTGCATGCCTGCAGTGGCTCAAGCTAGAAGCCAGGGGGCATTAGAGCAGCTCTCCATTCCCTTCCACAGTGCTGAGCTGAGGTGGCATGGCCAGGCCAGCAGGATGCTTTGATTAGGGAGGGGTTCTCCCCCACCTTTCTGACTAGCCCAGCAGGGAATTGATAAATACTGTGTTATCACCCTATTAAGAAAACCATAGAGGGACATTACCAGCTACCTGTTGACTGTGCCTTTGTTCCATATGCCACAGCACAGACCATAGCCAACATGTGGTCTGCTAACTAATGCTGAGAGGTGTCTGTGCAAGGCAGAGGGGATGGGGCAATCCCTGTTCAGCAGGGAGTGGGGAAGGGAAGGGAGGAGGGAGAGCAGGGTGAAGCCAGGCAGATACCTGCAGTCTCTGCTGAGCTCCAGCCAGGAAGCAGAGGGGAGGGAATAGCTCTGTTGTGGAGCAGAGAGCCCTGCCCAGACCAGAGAGAATGCCAGGATGCTGGGGGAGTTTGGTCTAACTTAAACCGGCAAGGGGTCTGGGACAGACATTGCATAAACTGGTTTGACCCAAATCAGTTAAGTCTGATGCTACATCCAACCAGGTTCATCTCAAACCAGTTTCAGCCATTGTCAATCTGGTTTATGTGCACAGAACATCTGTTCTGTTACAGGTTTAAATCAGTTTCTGATCACTTAAACCAGTTTATTTGTAATGTCTGTCCCTAGCCATAATCTACATTTAGAAAAGACAAAGTGAGAGGAAACATCAGGTGATGGAAACCTCTATACCTTTCTTCATAAGAATATTAGACTCTCTCCCTGAGTCTTGCAGAGCAATTTTCAGCTTTTGTGTAACCTAATCCAGAGGTTGGCAATCTTTCATGAGTAGCAGGCTTCTGCTGTTGCTCCCCTTTGCAGTGCCTTCTTCCACAGTGACCAAGCTGCCTATTGTTGCTTCTGCTACATACCTCTGTCACCTTCATGTTTTCTACCTATTCCTCTGCCTAGTAGTGAGGAGGGGTGATTTTGGCAGTGACAGTAAGCAGTACCTGCTGTAGAGGACAAAAGGGGGCTGTGGAGGGAATTATTGGCACAGTGGAGAGAAGAGAAAGGGAAATGTTCAGGACAAATGTGCATGCCTCCAATCCTCCATGTCAGTGCAGGCTCCAATCTCTTCATGGGCTGGATGCAGCCTGTGGGCTATAGGCTGCCAACCCCTGAGATGATCTTTTCTGACTTTTTGTTTTTCCCTGCAGTACTGTTAGGGCCTTGTTACACCTTATGCTAAAAACTGCACAAATGTTAATTAGTTTAGTGTTGTTTGGTCCAGTGGAGCAGTTGCACATAAAGGCGAAAATCCTTCTCTGACTGCCCTTCACCTGCACAGCTGTGACTTGCCATTAGAGACTTGGTGAGAAGGGGCAACAATGGCTCATTGTTCCTGCCGGGCAGAGCGGGCCCACCACTGTGGCAATTGCAGTGAAACCAGAAAGCACTGGGGAGCTGCTGCAGCTTGATTAGACCAAACTGCTTCCCTGGGGCTCTCTGGTCTCATCAAGCTGCAGCAGCTTTGCACTGAGGACAGGGCCGCCAGGGCTTAAGCTCACACAGTCCCACTCTGTGTGGAGCCACTGTCTCAGTTCCAGCGAGATCAGAGAGCCCAATGGAAGTTGCAGCCCTGGAGTTCACTTGTTCTGCTCAGCTGAAGTCTTGAGAGAGCTCCTCGCTGTCTTCAACAGCCATACTGCTGCTGGCTGGGCTCCCTGCTGGTCAGTCACACACCACCTGAGCTCCAAGGGGCCTGATCCTTTTTTTTCTTCTCTAGTTTGTCTCCTCCCCACCGCTTTCTGCGCTGCTCCTGACACGAACAGTGAGTTGGTCCTGGTGGTGCTGGGAGACATCACAGCCACTGGGTACCCCGGGGCTGCAGCACTTGCTCTGCCTTGTGACTCTGGGGGGAGAGGTGCTGTGCTGAGCCCCACTGACCCAGTGAACCCACTCGCCCTGACTCGGGAGGCATCGCTGCATTCTGGGATGGCAGAAGCAAAGACAGGACATTGCTTTGAAGAGGCATGATTGCTGCAACAGAAGCCATTGTGGTCTTGGTAAACAGGGAAGGTAGCAACCAAACAAGGAAAGAGACTCTGAGTCAAAGAATCAAAACCATTATTGAAAGTATGCCTTTCTGTTACAGAAGTGACTGTAGCTATTTAATATATCATATCTATGAGGTGACTTTCAGAGGTGGTGCATCTCCCACAGAAATTAATGCTTAGCTATGAATGCCTAAAACCAAGCCATGGATGGCAAAACTCCACTGAGCAGAATAGCGTTAATTCTTGCTAAACCTATGCTGAACCAATGTAACGACCCTTTGGTTGGCACCTCTCCAGCTCAACCACATCAATGCCAGAGATCCTAAGCCTTCTGGTTTTAAATATAGCAACAAGATCTTTATCTTTGAGGTGTGTATGTGAGTGCTTGAGTTACTGTCTGACAGCTCAATTTATATATGTGATTGCAAATCGGCTCCAAACCATCTTCCAAGTTTCTAGAGTCAGTCAGAACTGCCTGGCTCTTCCATTTGCATTTCTGTTTGCATTTCAAACATAGGGAAACCCTGCTCTTTTCAAATGAATTGAAGGAAACCGTTATCTGTGTTCTGGGTCGTTATGTTTACGCTAATCAACTTCCTCTTGGGTTCGTTTTAGATCAGCTGGTGTTCTAGTGCCAGATCCTCATAGCAGCTGAGCATCTAAACTAGCACCTGTTAGGATCAAACCCCATTGACCTTTTTATTTAGTGATTCAGACAATAGCCAGAGTTTAGCCTCCATCTGCTTATTCAGCTTCCATGGTCAACTTAAGTAATACTTTAATACACAGTGGGCACATCTACATGATACGTTTACTGCAGAGCTGCTTGATAAACTGCACAGTGGAGTCTCCATGTCTACACATGCAACCCTATTAGGCAGCAGGAAACTAACTCTGCTGCAGGTTAATACTTGTAAATACAGGTATTATCCTGCAGCAGCATTATTTAGTGCACAGCAACACACATATGGATGCTGATGAGGCGGTCTGGGGCTCCAGTATGTGTGCTGCCTGCCAGCTAGCCCCCAACACTGGAGCACCCTCATGCCCCAGCTCCTCTGCAGCACATTGAGCCAGGCTGGAGCAGCCCCAGACCAGCAGGCTGGCCCCCCAGGTCTCCTGCCAGCTGGGGCTGCTCCAACCTGGCTCAGCATGCTGCAGTCCTGGGCATATGTGAAGATGTGGTGCCGGAGAGCAATAAACGCCAGCACAACATGTACCAGAGTTTATTGCTTTGCATTAGTTTCATGTGTAGATGAACTCAAAGAACCCAGTTTCACTAAGCCTAGGCTTGTAATGCTTAATAAAATAGTCAGCCACAAGCTTCATTGTGGATCTAAATCTGAAACAGTGAGGGGACAATTATGTGCTGCATTCAAATAATCAGTGGAAGGATGGTGGCAAAGACAGTTTGCAAGGACCTAACTCTGCTTTGACATGGGGAAAGTTCTCCCTTTGGTCTCTTGGGGATTTTTCAGATTCTGGATCCTGCATTGGAGTATAGGTTCTGTAAGGGTTGACAATTGATTTGTAAGTCTGATATGCCCCAAAGTACCTACTGGTATTAATAACTCTCCTCATAGAAAAGAGGTAAGGATAGTATTTGAAAAGTAGTCCATATATATGTATGTGTGCCTATTCAGAGATAACTGGTTTGCTCTGCTGTGTTGAGAGTTTGGGGTGTTCTGTTTCTTTATACAATTATCACAACTGGAAACAAAGCACCTACTGGAAAGGCAAGAAGGGTCAAACCCTGCACTAGTTTAAAGGACAGTACTGTGTTCAGCTCTCAGATCCCAATTGTTAATAGACACAAGACCCTTATATCTGTTACCTCTTTAGTCTTATCCTTCTACACTTCTCTTCTTTTGATGGACTTTTTGAAGTGCACTTGCACTTTATTTTTCTGTGTTTGCTATTGATTTTACTTTTTCTTTCAGATCCTTTTTTAAAATGTTCTATGTATTTTCCTTCCAATGCATGCCCCAAATAAACTGGTAATATGGAAGGTCATATGGGTTACTGCATCCCTGGCCTGCAGAGCAAACTGGGCCATATGGCCCTGAACAATCCATCAAACGAAGCACAGTAGACCCACACATTAGAAACATAGATTGGCCCATGATGCAAACTTCAGATCTAACTCTCTGTACAATTTTTCCATCTCACACTTGTGATGATCTCTGCACAGCGCTGTAAAATCATATACATACCCTACAGCTTCAACTTCAAAGTACATAAGTAGTAATATTAGAGTAAAAAAATAAAGTAGTCTGCTTGTTTTATTTGTCCATGACTAAGTGCTTGGTGGGATCTGACTTTTGATTTATTGGGTAAGAGGTAAGTTGGAGTCCAGAAGAAACTTTGTGCAGTGGCTTGGAATAGTGTTGCTTTAGGAATAGGCCATCCTGCAACTGTTCAGATGGGTAACCCTGATTCTATGGCTAATTTAAAGCTAGCCTGGTTGGGTCTAACCAAGGGGCACAATGGACACAGCTTAGGAAACTGATGCTTATGTGCACTACAGTATGGCCTAAGGCCCTGCTGGGCAAGGCAGTACATCTACACATGATCTGAACCCATCAGGCCAAGAAGTGATTGTTATGCATAAGAGCTTACAATATAAACTGGAGGTGAGACAACATGTGTATGCAGCCAACCGAAGAGTACAAGGAAACTATGAGACTGTTAAATAGAGGCATTTGCTAAGCCGCTGGTTGTATTCACAAAAGGATCCTCTTCTGTTTCCATTCCTGCAGGTCGATATCCACAGGTGAACAAAGGCACTTACATTCAGATCCCTTTGGTTGAAGAACTAAAAAGCGGGGTCTGGGGAGCCAAGGTTATGCAGAAGGAGGGCAACTCTGTTAACCTGTCCATCATGTCTGCTCCAGACTGCATTGTTGGGAAATTTCGCCTGTATGTTGCTGTCTGGACCCCCTCTGGCATCCTCAGAAACAAGAGAGACCCAGCAACTGATACCTACATCCTGTTCAATCCCTGGTGCCAAGGTGAGAGCTGTGTAGAAATCACATACATGAGTTCTGCACAAAGTTTCAGCAGTTTACCCAGGCTTTTGGTGAGGCAAGGGCCTGATAAAGCTTAGGGTGACTGTGGCTTTTGTCTGGACAGGATTTGAATGTGGTTGGTTACTTTCCAAGGAAGCAGTAGTTTTTGATTTGATTATATGTTCACTTTGGGCAAGACAGTTGGAAAGTGAGTGAGTATTCACTTTATCCTGCCCTCACTCCCCTGCACAGGCACAGCACACTCTTTCAGCACCCAGGTGGGAGAGGAGGGGGAATTATGATGGCCATGGGGGAGAGGAGTCTGCTGCTGCTGGCATAGCAACATGGCCTCGGGTTGCTGCCACTGAGGAGCAGGCAGCGGCATGGATTCCCAGGGTGGGAAGGAAGGGTGCTTCTAGTGCCCCATTCATTACCCCCCCATTCCTGGGGGCAGCACTGTGCCTCCAATCCAAACCCTCCCAACCCAGCACTGCTGGGCAGGGGGCTATGCCTGCCTGGCTCCTATGACCAAGCTGTGCCTGCCATAGTGAAGACTGCTATGAGGAGGGTACCATTCTGGTGCCTTCTTAGTTGGCACCCTGGGCTGGTGCCCTGATTGCCCCCATTTAGTTATGTTACTGCTCTCCTCATTCCCAAGTAGGTACTGAGTCTTCCCGCTGACTTTAGTGGGCTGTTCTTCAGGCCCTGTTTGTATGTGTGAAACTGATAGTTCAATAAATCCATGTTCATTTCCAGGAAACTGGCCTTCGGCAAGGAGATCAAACCATTCACATAGTGCATAGTAAACTAGTGGAACATACCGCCACAGGTTATTGTAGAAGCCAACAATTTAACCAGGTTTAAAAGCGGATTAGACAAATTCATTCCAGATTGGTCTACCAGTGGCTATTAAAGACACCGGTAGGGCTGCAACCACCAAAGTAGGACTTCCTAGGCCTCCCAATGCTGAAGATGTAAAGGAAAAGGGGAAGAGAGCAAATCAGTTTGGACAGGCCCTGCATAAATACTCTTTCCCTTAGCATCCAGTCCGTGCCACAGGGTACTGTGTTAAATGAATCTGTTCTCTGACCCACTATGGTATCCCTTACGTTTAGGGACCAACCTAATTCGTGGGGGTTGCCCCCTGATTTTGCACGTAGAACGTGAGCCTGGGCACCCATTTCATGGACAGAGTGTGGCAGGCCCCCCATGCTGCTGATTGGCCGCAGAGGCTGCCCATTATGTGGCCCCACTCCTTGCGTCTGGCTGTGAGTGCTGTCTGTCGTGCAGCCCTGCCCCTTGCCGCTGATTGGAGATGGGTGGGGCCACATGACAGGCAGCCCTCACACCCACTCATTAGTGAGGGGCAGGGGCAGCAGACATCTTGCTGACTGTCCCTTCTCCCCCTTCCCTGCCCTGGCGACCTGCCATGGCACTTGATAAGTTGTTTTTGTTTTAATTATTATTCTGTGGATTTTGCAGGCAATGTTGGATTTTGCAAAATCCATGGAATTGCATATTTGGTAAATTCCTACTTATGTTCTTATGCCTTCCCAACTAATATGTGGAATAAAGGATTAAATTTGTAGAACCTTCTGTTCCACGTTCACATGTAAAAATCAGCACCTTGTTCACATGTGCCAAATGCCTTCACAGTTTGTGATGAACAAGTTTCTTTTCTACACAGAGTGATTTCTGCCAAGTTTATTACTTGCCTTTGGTCCAAGAGAATATTAGCAATGATTAGCATTATGTATTATTTAGGAAGAGGTTTGTTAATGTTGAGTGGAATTAAGTGGAAACGACTGAAAGGAGCAGAGACCATGACTTTAGTGTATCATTTAAGCATGTTGGAAAACACTAGGCATCATAAGGCCACAACGATAGCTACTTCAGGACTTTGGGGACAGATGTGAGGGGAGGTGTATAGCTATGACAAGTGGGAGGAGTCCCAAGAAGAAGTAGGCTTGCAAATGTAACTTTCTTCTGGATAGATAATGTTCCCCCTCTATGCTTGTTATAAGACTATTCCAGTCCTAGCCAGTGAGTTGTGGCTCTGTAACTCAAGCTATAGCATATTGTTTTCAGCTGTGATGTCCCTGGTTCAGTACCCAACATGGCAACCAGCACACACAGTCACATGAAGACAAACCCAGTGCCAAAATCTTTAAAAGCGCAAGTTGCCTAGTGAAACTTCATGAATGATGTACACACCCAGTATGAGTTTGCATGTTACACGACTAGCCAGTGTACATCTGAACTCCCTGCCCTTAAGCTAAGCAGTCTTGTTGAGTATGGCCCAACAAATGCAAGTCAAATTAAACAAAAAATACCATGTCGGTGGAGGAAATAAGTAAGACAAGCTGTAAACAACGATGCAAAGCTGATGCTGAAGCCTTCAGCAGCAATAGGTAACATGAGGTTTTGCCATAAGAGAGTGAAAGAGAGCATCTGTTGTCATTGTTTCCAAGAACTCGTTAGGTCTTGTTACAATACAGTTTAAATAAGCATGCATCAGTTAGTGAGTACAAGCTAAATATAGCTTTTATACATGCTATCAGCCCTGTCATTTGACTGGCTGACAGCAGGGATACTGAAGGGTTAAACTCACATCCAAAATGCATTTCTGTTTTATCCTTTTTCTACATTACAAGTGCTGATATCAAACTGGTATTATTATACCTCACAATTTGCTGATTCGTGATCTTATGATTGTTATCATTCTTACGTACCTCTCCCATCTATTATACCAGGTACAGTTGTACTGTCCTGCATGCTTTCCTTATATACTACAGCAGATTGTACTGCTTCTGTCTGATGTTCCACAAGAATATCTTAGAAAGACCTTGCACAGATTCCAAATGTTCTAATGTACTGTCCTCTTCCACGTAACTTAGCTTTTAATTCATGCTTCTCCAGGCCTGCCTTGTGGCCTACAGCATTATGGAAGCACACAGATCCTTGATATATCCACAGGGGCTAGAAAGGTATGAGAGCTCTCGCCCACCCCAGGGGTTTTTAGACAACCCTGAACTGTTTGGACCACCACTTTTTGTGTCTACAAATAACACATGTGTTCCATTTTACAAAGGCAGAGGTTGATCTTTGTGACCTGTTTAAATATCCTGTATCTTGTTGTCTGTAACAGGTTTTGTTTTCTGCATATCCAAGGGCTTGATTTTGTTTTGACCCATATTTGCTGCTTATCCAACTTCTTTCTAGGTCATTTCAGCTAGTCAGCATCTATTTCTGCTCAGCCTTTTGGTATAAGAACACACGGGAGAAAGAATGCCCCACCACCTTTCACTCTGACCTTAAAGACAGAGGTTTTATGGATCAGCTGAAAAATATAGAAACTCAGATGGCAGCTTAAACTAGACTTTCTTCCTAGGTGAATAAATAATTGCGGGGAGGGGTATGATATGTATCATTAGAAGGAGAGAAGATTTATACCTGGAATGTAGGGGAATTGCTCATAACCTGGGCAGACTGTCACTTTCACTAGCAGCTTTCCAGCTCTTCAAAGAAGTGCCAATAGATCTCTCTGAGGTTCTTTTTAAGAGCAAGGCTTTGTATTTGTGTCTTTCCTTTAATGCAGCTGTTCAGGTTTGACACATTTTTCTTGGTTAGGTTTGCATAGTTGCCATTTTAGAAGTCAAGCTAGAAAGCAATTTTTCTTTCTAGAAGGAGAGCTTACTCCAGAAGTCACTAGATTATTTTATATGATGTAACTGCTTTTGCTGCTCAGCACCAGGCAGACTTTGCTAATTCAACTATTGCTTTAGAGCCTGATCCTGGAATATGAGTGGTGCTCTTACCTCCCTGTTTAGCGCAGGAAGCTCAAGAGCACTCACCATTCCATAGGATTAAGTGATTTCACCTGCGTGAGCTAATCACCCACTTTTTAATTAAAAACTCCCTGGGGTAATAGCATTTACATCTACCTAAATATTATTAACTTGGTTCCAAGAGGTGCCCCTATAACTTGCATTGACTTCAGAGGTGCTGAACTCTCCTAGCTATCTGGATTAGGCGTTCTAATGACTTTTGTAGAGGCTTTACCAAGAGGGCTGTATACTATATTGGGTCATGCTACCGGCTTCACTGACTGTACAGATGCACCTTGCTCATTGCATCTTTTGCTAACTGGGCAATGTGCTTAAGCTATTGCGATGTATATGTTTTTGCTGATCCAGTTATAGATTCCATCAGTTCATGTCCTTCAAATAGCCTATAAATTCACTGAAGATTATGAATAAATATGGATGGCTTAAGTCTTCTCCTATATCAGGAATCCAACTTTGTGCCATGTAAAACTTTTCCCTAGATTTGCCATTAAGATACAAATGTGGTTGAATCTGCTTGTAATGGCAGAAGGGTGAAATTCACCCAAAGTACCTAACATACTATACTGATGGTGCAGGCAGGTAGTCGTTGCTTTTCAAGCTCACAGTCTAGAGTAACACCCATACAGCTTCACTGTACTTGGCTGTTGGTTGGGTAGATTTTGTGTGCGCATGCAAATGCCCACCCAAATGCCTGCAAACTCATTAGCCATTGCCTACTTTGAGTTCTGTTGTGGCTTCAGTTACGGCACAGATCTGCACTGAACCAGCAGGCATATTTGGAGCCAATTGATGACAGACACACAAAGCTCCTGAGTTCTTAGGGAAAGTGTCTTTTGTACCCTTGGAAGAGAGATAGCATATGCTCACCTGCACAGAGTAATTTACAAGCTCCATGGAAGATACTGCCCATCTGGCTGTCTCAGGAAGTGCCAGAAGAAACCATTCCTATGCTCAGGACAGTATAGGATGTACAACTGTAGTTGGTTCCTTTACTGAGGTGTGAATGGTAGGAGGGGCTTCCTGTGCACATCTCTTACTCACTTCATTCTACCTTCACTCTATCCAAGGGAAGTATACTGCACCCTTACTAATTATCATGTAAGCTAATCTTTTCTGGAGCATTGCTAATACTTTTTTAATTTCCAAAATAAACTA